GAGACGTTAGCGATTCGTGAATGCAAACCGAAACCCTGCATACAGAATGTGGTTGTCAAGTCTGTTATTCTAGCACGATCTTGACTTCTTCATTATCCGTTTCTTGTTGATTCTCCATTTAAAATGATAACTTTGCTTTTACTTTAATAATAGATTAACTATTATCACTCTCACATGTTCCTTCTGTACATTTTCTCACACTTGTTTAATGACCAATAAATTATCTTTTTTTCTCACTCAATAACAATTTCAACCTTAGCAAAATTTCTGACGCTTCCTTCCATTGTGTCATTAACTATAACGTTATTTGAAGCGTTTATTTTTACTTTTGAAGCCACTTCCAATTACTGTTTCTAAATTATGTCACCCCTACTACTCAGTCACTAATGGACTAATAAGCATTTTCGGTAAATATAAATACGACTGTATAGCCACCAAAGATGAATTCGTCGATGAAGAAAATTTTCTGCTCTGAATTGTTTTGAATTAACCGAATGAATCAACACTAAACTCACACTTGAGTTTCATCGACATCTAGCAGGAATGGTGCTATTAGACTGACTTGTTAACTAAGAGAGAATATTATAGGTTTCCAGGCCGTAGGTGTTACGAACTTCCTGAAATAATTTGAGCGCCGAGTCAGATTGATTCATTATAAATTATTTAAATTAATCCCAGCGTGTTAAGAAAATCAAAACAAGATTTTTCTGAACGTTTCGCTGTGTAAGCCACAGCTTCTTCAGCAGATTTATTCGGATTTTAATAATCATCAAAATATATATATATATGAAAGCTCTAGAAAAGAAAGCATTGACAAGTTTTAGTTGTCATCCTAGAATATGGTACAGATATGTAGACGACACTTTTATCATCATAAAGAAAGCTGAAAAAGAAAACTTTCTAACAGAAATCAACTTAATCTCAGAATATATTGAATTTACTAATGAAATAGAATCGGCTGAGGGAACTATAAACTTTCTGGATTGTCTTGTAAAAAGACAGACTGACGAGAAGCTAAAGTTTACCATATACAGAAAGCCGACACATTCCAACAAGTATTTGAATTTTCAATCAGATCATCCAATAGGAATGAAAGTTTCAGTAGCTTTAAATCTCGTTAACAGAGCTAGAAACATTATAACAGATAATGACGACATGGAGAACGAGATATCCAACATAAAACAGGTTTTGATTGGAAATGGTTATCCTGAAAAGCTACTTGATAATATTATCAATAGAAAGGAGCATAAGGGAAAACCAAAAATTGAAAAATCCTGGCTATCCACGATAGCCATCCCATACCGAAAGGACACAGCTGAACAACTTCAAAGATTATTTGCTTCATATAATATTAAAGTCTATGTCAAACCTTCTAACTCTCTAGAGAAGGCGTTAGTACATGTCAAGGATATAGTTCCCAGAATGGCACAAAGTAATTGTGTCTACAAGATAAAGTGTTCCGAATGTGATGCATGCTATATAGGGGAGAGCAGTAGGCAGATGAAGGTCAGAGTGAATGAACATAGACTATGCACGAAACGTCCACCTAGAAATGAAGTGGAACTAAAAAGTCTGGAAAAAAGATCCGCTATAGCAATGCATGCTATAGACAGAGGACATAAGATTGATTTCGACAATGTCGAAATTCTTGGAAGAGGATTTCATTCACATAAAGAAAGATTGACTTCTGAAGCCTTGCACATCTTAACCACATCGAATGCAGTGAATAGGAAGGATGGGATAGACTTATCACCTATATGGCAAACTCTAGTGAAGCAAGACAAATGAAAAAATCAATCAGCACTCTATGAGCCTCCATGACCTTTTAAAACATGTTTATCAAATATGAATTCACGTATTTTCCATATGACAAATAACATACATACACACACACACTCATACAAAACTAATCTATACAAATTAACCATACAAGAATGAACACAACATCAACTTGACATTAGTCATTACAAAATATGTGATGACTGCTTACATATTTTCTATTGGTAAAAAAGGTCCATAGACAAATGACCTTCAGACAAACTGACTGTAATGTATGTAAAACATTTTTTGACTATATATTTTGATGATTATTAAAATCCGAATAAATCTGCTGAAGAAGCTGTGGCTTACACAGCGAAACGTTCAGAAAAATCTTGTTTTGATTTTCTTAACACGCTGGGATTAATTTAAATAATTTATAATGTAAGAGAGAATATTAATTGTAGCGTGAAAACAAGAATACTAAAGTGATGCTGAACATTTGCCAACCAACCAACCCACGCACCCACTCATCAAATGACTTTACCAACCACCAATAACTAATCAACACACTCGCCTCATTCAACAAATGGAAAACAAGATAAGCACTACTACTACTATTTATCAACTAACAAACGCATTACAACACTACAACTCACCATCAGGAAGAATATAAAAGCTGGAGAATTGGACCAGAGTAAACTAAGGAAGGTGAGAATATGTTCAACTCAATTTACATTTACATATCCATGATAACGCTGCTGGTGTTTGCCACCATGAACGAGGGTAAGCGAATATTGAAATGACTGTGCATTTTTGACTCAATCTTTTCAAATTATTCTGTTCTGCAATATGATGAACGTAATTGTTTTATCAAATCAGTGTTATGTAAGACTATTCCGTGATCATACTTCTGAAGGAAAAGTGATTATGTCACCAACACCACTTTCAGTATCGCCTAAACACATCATTTTCCGTCATTGACGAATAATAACTCGATGTCGATGATCTCTTCATTTCCGAAATAGGAAATGAGTGCAGCAAACATTCAATTCTATGCTGTCTGGGAAGTTTAATCCTTCAACTGGTGTTCTGCTCATTAGAGTGTTTTAGATCACGAATCCAATAAAAGTACTCAAATGGCACTACAGGCGTCTGAAATTAACAAATTCTTACATAGTATTCATTTGTTATTAAAGTTACGGTGTGTGTAACGATGGCTGTTCTCTTCATTTTGTCAATTTTCAAGGTGAATTGACTAGGTTAGAAGACATCAAAAATGCGATTTCGTATGCTCGAAGTAAGACGACTGACTTTATGTGGATAAATATCATTGTTCTTATATTAACCCACTCTAGCTTTTGGGTGTGTACTGTTCCTCAATATTTCGTCACATCCTATTGCCTTCAACAATCGATGCTAAATAATTTTCGCTTTCCATTTAATAGACCAATTACTCCAAATAGCTCAGATGGTTATCAGAAGAGAAGCAGCGAATAAACAACTGAAAGGTAAACATTTATTTCAATGTGATTGATAATTTGACTTGGTCTACTCGATTTCTGCATCCCCTGTTCTCATGAGATATTTGTTATATTTTTTGGAGTTTTTTTTACCTATAGGCTATTTCGTGTCAATGCTTTGACTTTTGATATTGTGAATACATGGAGCCAGCTGCCATGAGATATACTCAAATGAGGATAATATATTAGTGCCACGCGAAAAATGATGGAATTATCAACACGCATCTACCTGATTTCCCAATTCACTTCACATTTATTCACATTCGCTTCAATCGGAAATTTCACACCTTCATGTCCATGACATTCACTCTGTTGTAAAATGAATACAATACGGTGTAGGGGTGCTCCAATAATAGCCAAATAACTAACTGTTTTCTACATGCTGAATGTAGAATTTTGTGCAGGTGTCCGGTGTCATGCAATCGATCTTATCACTCCTCTCTTTCACTAGATAAGATTATTCTTGAAACTGGAGGAAAAGGCAACAGCACCATTGAGAACTGTGAGTGATGGTTTGATGAATTTCTATGACTAACAAACTCCTTCAGATATCAGCTGTTGGGGAACGCATTATGAAAACTACTTTGGACACATATTATTCGAAGGTATGTTCCAAGATATACTTCAGCTGTATATACTGCCTTTATTTGCATGGGTACCGGATGAGTTTTGGTTGTTGCTCTTGTTTGAAATGTTCCAAATTCGGATTGAAGATGGCAACTTTGTAGCCAGAACAATTCAGTGAGATCCTACAACTATAAAACTACACTTGCGGACTTGAAACAATTATCTTATCTAATGAGATTGCTCTCAGATTTAATGTTGACAGCTATGTTATCCATTGAAGCTGTTAAAAAGGATACATTTTCGGGAAATTCACTTCTGCTTTCTTCGAGATGTTATCAAATTGCTTCAGTCTACATCCCAGTTTGTCGCACACACTATCTGATCCTTCCATTTGGATCACCATGTTCGAAACTCTGATGTCACGCGTCATTTATGTAGGTTTAGTTGCCGATATCGATCATTAGGCAAATGACGTCAACTAAACATTCCGATGGAATGAACACTTCATTGACTCGATAAAGTTATTCATCGTGAAGCTGCACGGAGAACAACCTAATGGAAAGTGAACGATTGAAGAGAATCATTTTCGTCTTTAGATGTAATTATGAATGATAAATTTCACGAGAACTGGGTGTTTTGAGCTGGTCAGTGTAATTACATTGTGATAATCAATAGAAGAGATTGACAAATTACGGTTGAGTATACCGTGGAATTAGTCAGCTCTGATGTTAATCCACATACATTACAGTTATAAACTCTGCATTACGAATTATTCTTTTACATGATCTCCTAATGTCAGTTATCATTTTCTGTCTTTATAGGGGCCAAAAACGGACCTGAGGATTATGGTAAATTGAATTTAAGTCAGTTGACTTCATGTGATGTTGTTGTCACTTTATCTACATCCAGTATATAATTTGAGTGTTGACAATGCTTCTCGAGTTACAATGCATTCATTGAGTTTGTTCAACAGCGACAACCGCATGGAATTCGACAAACAATTATCTACCTCAATGTGTTATAAGTGTTACTCATTGGCATATAAACGCCTCATCTAGTTAACCGAACTTAACATATGTCATATGATAAGGAACTACTGCATTTAAGCGATGAAGTTATCCCTGGGTATCGTGTAGTCAATTCATATTCGAATTGCGTTACGCTCACCCTCTATTTACCAACCATCGTACCGTCTTTCCATACTCTCCCTGATCCCTCCAGCAAAAATACTTCCTGAATTTTTACTCAAACAATTTATCAGAATTACTACTACTCAATGATAGTGGTTTTTCCAGTGTACATGATGACCACCGGAATTGGATCGTATATTTTACAGGCCATTTTGTGAAAAACATTCATCATTGTGTTACTGCACAATCTGAAACCAGAGTTATCAAAGACAGTTACCTTAGTCCATATGGTCGCTTCAGAATATTTCTGACAGGAGCATCTGAATCATTCACCAATCAGGATATAAACTCACTCATTTATCTGACAAAACCTTCAGAATATAATGAACATGAGTTGATATGTTGTTTAAAATACATTTTACATACAGGTACCTTCACTGTGAAACATTCTCTCCGACAATGTATGAAGAAAGAGGCCAATGCTCACACAGGTAAACAGTTTAGCTTTGAATCCTTCCTTCTCACTTTTCAAATAAACATTCCTAACTTAACTTGTCAGTTACGTCGGCATCAACTTGAGTTTTGAACCCACCTGATTATCTCAGACACAAACCACAGAGTTCAGATTGGAGATTTGTAACTCCAGATAACTTAGTACACATTGATTTGTGTGTGTTTTTACATTCAATGGGTCTGTAGTTGCATGAGTATTTGTTATTATTATTGGTAACTTCAATGAATGTTTCCCTTCTCTTTGTTTCAATATGCTGTTCTTCCCTTCTGTTTCTTCATCAGCTCAATGGCGATCAGTATCAGCAGCAGTCGACTGTGAACATTATAAACCATCAGGAAACAAAAAAGGTAATCTACTAATGACAACACTCTTAAATTAAATTATGTAAGATCACTGCTTTGGAGGATATTGTGAAAAATTTTTGAATTTCATTAGTTCCATTTTCGGAAGTCAAATGAATTCTCAGATGAGTTTCTTTCACAGGATTCACATACCTTTCGATCTGGTGGCGTTGTCAATGAATTCGAAGTTGAACTACCAATGTGCAGGATGCAACATCAAGTGTGAAATCAGACTGCTTTCCTTCCAATGTCGCTATCACACATTACATCTCTAAAGTGCAATGACGTGAAATCTGAAGTCTATGAAACTATCTGACGCAGTTGAGATTGCATTTGATGCAATTTGAACACTCCTGTATATTGACAAATAAGGTTGATTTTTTAGTCCCCTGACACTGATGGAGTCAATATTATGCGAATTCAACACATAACGAGAGGGGATTAAGGGTTTCTCGAAAGTATTTTCACTGTCTTCAAAGACGTTCAATGATCGACATTGAAGTGAATGAACACTTAGTCGTCTGCTTCAACAACAACACACTAAACCAAACCATCAATTATTGCACAGTATTCTGCATGATCACTTTTCACTTTTTGATTCTGTGATATTCAATTTTGAAATTCAGACATTATTCTTCAAATTTCAGATCTTCAGGAATTGAAGAGTAATATAGAAATTTCATACCGCCGCAGAATGCTCTTTGGTAATATTATGTGTAAGTTCAATATGTTTTGTTCATGAGTTTTACACACTGCATTTATGCATGAATATCAATTCACAGAATTAAAGCACAAACAATTACGTGATATTATGTGTAATTAGCGATCGTTTTATGTGCGAAACTCCTTTAGATAACATGAATAATATTGGCTTAATAATCGCTATATATTTAAAACCGAAATCGATAATAGAATTATCTTGGAATAAGCAGGTTCTTGGAGAGCTGTGCATCACTTAGTAGTCGGTGCGCGACGCTCAGTTGTATATAGGTCTAAACACTGAAGAATGCCAATCGACCACAGAAAGCTAGAATAATCTGAAATGTCGACAAACGGATCACTTCCCAAGTAGAAATCATCAAAATATTCGGAGGTGACAGTTTATTTGCACAAAGGCTGACCTTATGCACATCCACACACAAGTGACTACTACTCTGTTGTGCAACGTGAAAATGCAAAGAAGGAACATGATCATTATGAGTGTTTGCCTGACAATGGAGTAAATTTAAGAGAAAGTGATCGGTTGGGGAGAAACTGTCCGATGTGTTCACACGTGTGTTTATACGTGTCTTGGAGACCAGCCGTCACATTTGTCAAAATCAGAATCAACAACCATAACAACAGTGAATCGTCATCACAACGCAGATTTTGGAATAACTGCCGCCTTCAGTTCTATACCAGTAAACTACCTAACACATGAGTGTTACCACAATACACGAGCAGTGTTGAATGATTGAGCATGAAATGTTTTTCATAAAATGATTTGTATATACACACACACTTATTCAGCGTATTTTATTACTACTGATCAGATATAATCTTTTGTAAGAGAAGGAATATATATATATACTGATGAACAAGGCTTGCTTTCCTTCAACTAACACGTCACCTTTACATTGCTCTTTCATTTTCAAGTGCTCAAGAAAATTCATGAAACTCTCGCTGAGAAGTTGACACGTAAGATTTACCTTCTTTCTCATACGAACTCCCACATTTCATTTTTCAAAATTGAATCATGAGAGAAACTGCAATCTCATCTTTTTGCATAATTGTGTATAACTGAAATTGAAATGCAGTCCACTTGAAAGTAGTATTATTTGTATTCCAAGCACCAGAGACAAGAGTTGCATGTATCGGTGTATCATCATTTTATTCATGTAATATCATATCACATGGAATCACACTCAGTATTGTGAAGACAATCATACAGTGTATCTCAGATTTGGCATTCACAAAACTCAACCGATGACTTCTTCACAGCTGAACACTAGTTGTGGTCATGTCGATTCCAACCATGTCGGACATTCCCAATACACCTTCATTGACAGCCGCACCCACATCCACACCTGCATTATTGCGAATGACTGAATTTGCGATATCTGTCATGTTATGAATGGATCAGGATTACTGGATTCACTGTCTCTCAGTCATTCTGGGTGTGGAATAATGTTCACAACAGGCGTTGCTTGTTCTTCATGTCCTAAAGTTTACATCGGTAGTCAAAACTTATCGATTCATTAATGTGTCTCTCCCAATACTCGTAACATTCAGCCTCTTTTACCTTCTCATGAAATCATAAATGCTCATCTGCTTTTATTTTCTCTACAGGAGTAGGAGGAAGAAACTAGACAAGAATGTGAATGTCCTGCTCATGCTAGCATCGGAAACGTGTATTCTGCATATTACTGAAATATATTGATGTGCAGTGGAATTCATGAAAACATTTACTTGAATAACTCTTCTTTATGTTAACGCTTACTGTCTGCTTTCTAAATACAATTTAATCAATCCAGTTAATTAACTTATTCCGACTAATCAGATGAATTCAGTGTTCTCAGTCTGAGTCATTTGCATTTCTATCGACATTAACAAATTCAAATTCAAGTGATGGTGTGTGGACTTCAGCATTTTATTTCATCAGTTAGGAAGATTTTCATTTAATTACGGTATCAGTGAGGTTGGCCAAACTACTTTGATCGTATCAGGAGCGTTTGTGTTGCTTATTGACCACCTCAATGGTAACAAAATATGAAAGAATTGAAATTTGATTCATTTGAACATGATGTGACTGAATGGGCTGACATGCAACCTGATATCGAAGCCTCAACACTTGTAATCCAAGTATTTGTCGGTAGTGATCGTGGCCGTAACATTGAAGCAGTATGGTGGTAGGTCGAGTCGCTGGTAGCACTTACGCCGGTTACGTATTCACAGATCTCGAGATTTCAAGGTGCAAAACACTGATTGCAGGATGACGAGATAATATTTTCACCATCAGAAATTATATGCATAATGAAATGTCCGTCTCGTTTGAAAATTCCCGATTTGGATATTTTCAAAATCAAAGGAGGCGATACAGCGAAGAGACTCTCATCAAACAGTCGATTATCAAGCTGCACAATCATATATGTATACATATATACGTAGTTATTTAAGAAATTATATCTTGGGAGTAAATCGAAATGCGGGTGTGAATAATGAGCTACTAATAGTAGCATGAACTGCAGGTAAATACTTTCTAATTATACAGATAGTCAAATGTCAATATGCGACTCTGATTGAATTCATTTGATATCAGTGACAAACTGGGCTAGATATATGACAGTTACAGATCAATGACGTGACAGCAAAGCATATCTGTTCACAACTGAACGATTTTCTATGGAGTGCCATTTCCACATATCGTTTTGATATATTCTTTGAAGACAAAAATAGAATAAAACGTCACAAATACAAAATAACCTTGAGTTAAACACGAATACAAAACTAGTAATACTTTGGCTTTCAAAATGCAAAATTAATACAATCAATGAATAAGTGAAATATGAACAGACTGTGCTCGATATACTGCTAGCAAGCGATTGTTAGGCTTACTAAATGTGACACAGCCTAGTGAGAACAAAATTTAGATAAGATTGGTTTAATTCACTCAATCTGATCTAATCATCATTCTACTCACAGGTTTGTTATCGTGCCCATGGAATGAGCACTTCAAACTGATCTAAGAGAATCCATAAATTCCACGTTGTCTCAAGCACTTATTGAGCTTCCAGTGATGACGGTTTACTAAGAGGCTGTTATAATCTAGAGGATTTGCAGTCGTACGACATGTTCGGAATCTCCTTGAAATTAAAAGATTAAAAACATAACTGCTGATTAGTGGTCACAGTAGAAAGCTTTGTAAACTACAGTTAGTAGTCTATTTCATTTGAACAGCCTGTTCTACAGATAACGGCATCGTGATAAAAACGGACCAGTCTATGCATCACATCTGGAAAAGCAAGTGACTATTTGGTGGTGGAATTGAATCAACTTCATACAGATTATCATGTGGAAGTCGAACAGCATTTGTAGTAAAAGATCCAAGTGGCGCGTAATTCCTAAACTGCCGAACTCTCTCTTCAAAAACGCGTCGTCGTCTGAATATCGCTTCAAAGTCCTATTCAGACAAAAACAGCTTGTCAGCAGCGCAGATTGACAAGAATGTGTGGGTTATTTCGCGGATAAGTGATTTTAACACGTAATGCGAAATGAAAGTTAAGACCAGTTGTTCTTGTGTAATGTTATACTAAATAGTATTCTGGCTATTCACAAGTGACACTCACTCCTTCTTCAAATATGTCCTCCATTCAATGTTAACCAACTTTGTTGATATTACCCACCTACGTTAATTTAAACAACTTGTCTGTTTTCTGTAGTCTGCGTGTATAATCTGCTCCCAAAAGATAAACATACATTTCCGTTGAAGTTCTCTGCATCCATTGTACTGGCATTCATTTCGAATTGTAGTAATCACCTTCTCATGGTAAAGAGGGATTTACTCTGCATGCCTTCTTTATGCTCCAATCTGTCCTTCTGTCTCACTGAGAAGTTTTCTCATGCGAACCTATTCATTCTTGATCAGTACATCTGCACATTCACGCAGATCTACTCTTGTCTTATTGATAAACGAAGAATGACAGTGGTTTTCACATCATCCAACCTGGACACCTGACTATTTCAAGTTAATTATTTCTGTTCATCGTTAATCTTATGTTCAGTACGTCTCTTAGTCGTCAGCAAGACCAGTGTTCAGGATTCAACGCTCAACGCAAATGTCTGGTTAACAAGATCGAATTCTGGCTGCAAAATTATCATTGCAGACTTCTTACAAGAAATCGAAATGTTCTTTGTTTAGTATTCTCAGAAGTCCACGTATTCTACTTAATCTTAATTTCACTTACCCTGTGAATCAAGGAGTCCTCATCAACAGAAGCACAACGGAATTTCTGCGTGTTGTTTAGATGACGTGACTTACGAGTTGAATGCCAGTTGATAGTGGGTGCTGTGTAAGGCTTACTTGGTATTTTTGTGAACGCTGAAAATGCTTCTGGCCTATCTGGCTTTCTGGAGAGGCATATTCATCAGTCAGTTGAAGTTTCATTGAAGTCATTTATGTGGGGCACCACATTGCAATGTCGGAACGTGTAAGCCGCAACTTTTCACTGTCACGATAAAATCCTCCCTCAATGTCCACCGTTATTCAAGACTACATGGATGGTGGGAGACTCCGTACTGTGAAGTGGTGAATTTGTTATCATCGACGCACATTGCTGATCGATCATTCTGACATCTGATCATGGCGACTAGCATGAAGTGTATCTAGATGACATTATATGTCACAGTTCGCCACCATCGCCATCATTACATTGCCACTGTCTGATCTTGTTCCAAGACTCCATAATTTACCTTCAATGTGAATAATTTCGATTGCAATTTAACTTGTTCTCGTGATATGGTCAAGACTAAAAGATATTTTGGACATTCCGTTCAATTACGATGAGATTCGCAGAAGATAAGTGATAGGAACTAACTTTGCTCACCGAACCCTTCGTTTGTTGCCACTTTTTTACAAGAAATCGGCGTTCTCAGTTGCCTCTTGTGATAGAAACTGGGGCACCGCACTTATTCCTTCTGTTTCATTTGATCATCAGTCACTCACCACTCAGTGAACCTGCGAGCTACACATCGAATTCGGTTGCTTAATATTCGGATATTTGCTCCATCAACTGTGACTGAATGTACTTCCGGAGTTCAGAAATGTTGCTTCTAGATTTATCACTGGTGATCATTTATCGCTCACTTAGCACACCGGTTTTTCAGTTTTACTCTTTATTAAACACTTTGACAGTTTTGCAGAGGGAAATATGGAATAATCGTTGTTTACTTGTCAGTCAATCAATTGAGTTCTAACACAAACAGACTTCAGTTACATGTTATAATGAGTAGATTCTAATCGATTGCACTTCAGATATTCAGCTGAACACACACACACACAAAGACAACTTTGTCTAAACCATTTCAAAAATACAAACCTTCAAGCCCTCATAGAATAAAGCTGAGAGTGAATTATCTTTATCATGAATATGCTCCCATCCATTTTCCCGAGTTGTTTGATCAAGTCAAATGAAAAGGAAACACTTATCTTGAGATTAGCTGTTTCTTGAAGAGAATGGAAATATCAACATTTATTCTGCCACAGTTCAGTCAAATGACACCAAAAATCAGGAGACTTTCTACTGTTAGTGTGTCAAGAAAATTCCCTCATAAGCAGTAAGGAAATCACACCTGCATTAAATTACATTAACTAGTTCAACATATCAATATCATAAGGTGAAGAAATATTGAAGATGCTAACATTCTAACCAGGGTATTTCCGGCCTTTTCGAGTTAGTGAATATAGAAAGACAATACACAAACGGATTTTCAGTCTTCATAATTGTATGACTCGTTGAAACGCTTTGTGTTTACGTGATGCACACTAACTATCATATTCATGTTGAAGGAGTTGCTGTTGGTGTTGTTGAGGCTTCATTACATCCCATCTTCAGTCGTTATTCCTATTCAGAAAATAGTAGTAGAATTTCGTGTGTCATGTTTCTTATGTAAAACACTTTTTCAAATGATTTGAACACTATGGAAGTGAAGCAGTTGTCCTCATGACATGCAACCTCTTGTTGATCATTTTCATTGCTTACGCCTCTACAATCTTTACTTCCTTCTTCCTCGACTTTCAAGTAGCGTCCATGTTTCTATAGACTATTCGTCCACCTCATTTGTTCAGTGGTTGTATGATCTCATCTGATATCTGTGGAATGACGACTCTTTCGACTACGTCGTCTTCGAGTACACTAACTGTGTTGTTCATACAGTCACTGGAATTTCTCGGTAAGTTATTCATTATGAGAAATATGGATAGAGATGTCTGATTCTCTTTCATTTTTATTTCTGTGTGTCACTGTGTGTGTGGTTGTGTGTGGTTTTGTGTCTTAGAGAGACTTGATAACGACTAATAGTGAAGAAGAATTCAGGTATTTACTCGACTGTGTTGGGCAAAATATCATTACTTGCTACATAGCCACACAATCTAAGAGTGAATCGGTGTCATTTGTATCTGTTAGTGAACACGGTATCTGTAACAGTTAGACAGCTATTCCTTATCTCCTTCACAATGTTATCGGTGTATTTTCCATTCTCCAATTCAAAACAGCTGAACAACAATTCCGGTCTTTGCATTTATAACTATATATCCCCTACAAGTATACTCACTGAACAACAAGGTGATTATTGAGGCCTGCGAATTCTATCTGGAAATCAACTGCTTTACGTGTAAATGAATTCTGTATGGACACATGCATATATCAATAGCACCAGTAATCATTGCGAACGAATTC